ATGTGAACAGGTTGATTTGCCTTATTAAAAAGAGCAGTTACTGTCACCTGGGGTTAAGAAACAAATCAAGCTGTGTATTATTTATAACACACCTAACTATGTGATAAACCGCTGAAAATACACAGCCAGGCAGAGACAGCACGTCAACATGAACAGAGAATAATAAGCAGTAGGTGAAATGGTAACCAAGGTTGAATTTAAGTCAAAGGCAAAGGTATCATTTATAAACAAGGACAGATTATAAAATTTTATGTGCAAACAACACGGCAGCAAAATTCATAGAACTAGAAAACAAGCCTTGAAAAAAGGCTACCATCTGTCAAATTTCCTTAATGACTTCCAAGAACATCTTCAAACTGACAAAGTAAACCAAACACATGCTGGTTTTCTCCTGATTACAAAGTAACGCCCGTTTATGGTATGTAGCCGGGTCAATACAGGAAAGTATAAAACAGGAAAAAACAGTCCCAGCCCCCCGCCCTGGGGGGAGTCTCCACACTGCGCACCAGTGAAGAGCTCACTCGGGGCCCTTACTGTTTTCTCCTATTCACAAAGTTCATCACTGAAAAATCCCAGGTGTCGGAACATCAGACTACACTGAGAAATTACTAGGGTCCAACCAGATAGACAGACGGACGACTGACTATAAGCAGGTAGACAGCCAGACAACAGAGACTGACTGCTTAAACACTAACATTTTCCAAGTCACTTACTCCTGGCAGCCTCCAACGACGCCTATTCTTCCATCTTGGCCTTTGTGCTTCTTGGAAGTTTGAGGAGGTATAATATTTCTCACCAGCTGCAAAGTATTCTCCATGTCCTTTATCGAATGTGCTTTATGCAGTGAAAATGCTCTTTGTAAAACTGAAAAACAGGAAAACGGAATCATTTAGAAAAATATCTATTAGCATACATAAAAAAAGAGACTGAAACAAGATAGCCTATTAACCAAAACACTTCCCAAAGTTGACTTAACATGAAGGCTACAGATTTTTATCCCATGGTTTCCTTATTTTATTTCTGTAAGCAAATGATGCTTAGAAATTACAACACAACACTAACACTAGCTGGACATATCAAGTTTGTTTCTGAAATGTCTCAGACATTTCCAAAGTCTAGTTAACCTTTCAGAGAGTGTTTTTAATGCATTACCACTTAATAAACTACTCATATTCTAGTTCAATCTTCCATTAAGTTTATCAGATCTCTTCTCTCAAACTGCAAAAGCAACCTCCCATACTCATACTCCCAACCTTCCAGTCATGTTTCTGACACTCAATTAGATACTAATTAACCTAGAAATGGCCTTCTAAATAGAGAACATAGCTTACACTGGGTTCAAAGCGGCATTTTAAAATAAGATGAAAAAGTAAATAAAATAAGATGATTTTGAATTGTCTCTAAATAGCTAGATTTTAATTGCCTTTCTAGAAAAACTTCCCTCATTACATTTGCCTTGATATTTAACCCAGCTCAGCTGTGAGAGAAATGCCATGTTCTATAACATGTTGCGTATTCAAGGTCTGAATAGATACTAAAGCACGTTTTCTCTAGAATTAAAGGATCTTTGCAAATATACACAATACTCACACAAGGCACCCAACATTCATTTCCTTCCAGTTATCTTAGCAGCAGAGAAAAACCAGGCAGGTGTCACAGTTCCAATGAAGACCAAAAGCTGCCCCAACTCCATAAGGTAAACAGCTTTATCTTTTAAAACACTCTTACAATTTTGCTTTTTATTCAACGATTTTATTCAAGTAATTTTCTTTAATGAGTAGCTGTAATTGCCACCTCAGCTGATGTGCCAGGTGCTGAGACCCCCACATGTGAGAATATTAATTACTGTCAACCCAACACTTTTCACCTGTTCCCAAACCAACACAAGACTAAAACTCAAAACAGAATCACTGTAAATCTTTGGCCAAGAAAAGGCCCAACTGGGCTTGCTCAGCCTTGGCGACAGCTGGCTGATCCCTCTGCTTCCAAAGTCTGGTGCCAAGTCTACCGTCCTGCCCCAGAGGCACCGAGCTACCAGAGCATCCCAACTCCTCCTCTGCCGAGTTCACTCCACCTCCCCAGTGCCTGTGCATGCCCCCTCCCAGACCGCCGTCTCCTCCTCGCACCCGTCACTGTGCACTCCCCGTAAGCTGCAGGAAGGGTACTAGGGCTGCTGCCATCAGATCTGGTGACACATCGCTGACTGCTGAAGAGCATCTCCACAGTCACGGAAACTTTAACACGTCCAGCTTAACAACATGATCCGTCAATACGAGAATATCAAAGAACGGCCGTGCCTTCAAATTCCTCACATCGTGAAATACAGTTGCTTTTTAAAGTCTAGAAACTGGGGGCGCCTGAGTGGCTCAGACGGTTAGGCGTCTGCCTTCGGCTCATGTCGTGATCTCAGGGTCCTGGGATCGAGCCCCACGTCTGACTCCTGGCTCAGTGGGGAGCCTACTTCTCCCTCTGCCTCTCCCCCTGCTCGTGCTCTCTCTCTCTGTATCTCTGTCTCGAATGAATAAATAAAATCTTTAAAAAAAAAAAAAAGCCTAGAAACTGTAAAAGTGGAGTCCAAACGTAACCAATCACGTAAGGGGTGTTCTGGGTTCCTTACAATGTTGTGGGTTTATCAGGTTCCAGTACCTTCTATTCAGCACTTCGTCACACACAGAGTATCCCTAAGACCGCTACCCTTTGCTGACACAGCATGAGGCTCCCACCTCTGGCTTCAGGATAGCTGTTTCCCCACCCTCCATCACCTTGGAGTCTGGCACAGACCAAGACACTCCATAAATGTTTGAAAAACTAAAAGCATCTTGGTTTATTCTCCTCATTAGCGGCCGGTGTATCCTTTTACAGATAAGGAAACTAGAGCCCAGAGACACAGGCCTGGGAAGATGCCTGGGGTAGTGATGGATAAGCCAGACCAGAAGACACCATTTTACCAAAATGCTGCCATTTTACAGCAAATCATTTTTCCTTAACCAAATTGTCACCACACCAACCAAAAGACAAGACGACAACGATCAAATCCTTCTCAGTTGCCCCTAATAACCCTTTGGGAGGGGAGAATAAAATCACTTGAGAAGTACACCATTTTCACTGTTTAACCAGCAGTGTATGGATGCGAAGTAAATCCACTGCTCACCAGACTCTGTCCCATCCACCTGAGAGGAACGCCTTCTGTCAGCAAAGGGCCAAATGAAGGTCAATTACATCTCCCCACACTTCAGTTACTCAGTTTCAGCTGGCTTACTGGCATGCATCATTGGACTTATCCACAGAAATATTCAATGTTCTCAAGGATAAAAACAGCTTGACAAGAGGCGATTTAAACTTTATCCCATTACGTAACTTTATTTCCAGGACGATTCTGAGTCTGGAAGAACAGGTCAAACCCGTCTGATTTTCGTTTGTTTTACGGCAGTGGCGGAGGGAGCTTGGAGATGTGAACGGACTTCTTCGGCCTGGGCTGTTTTCTAGAATCACCACCTACAGCGCTCTGGGATAACGCCGTGTCTTTGGGCCACACTATGCTCCAAGCCAAAGGGAACCAGAGCTAATCTGGAGCAGCTGACAGCAATCCTTACAGTAACCCACAGGCCCTGAAGCTAGGATGGGAAGCCAGTGCTCTAGAACTCCACCTGTTTCGGGGTAAAAGTTCAGCGAATCAGCCTAATAATAAAACCTTGAACAAATGCCAAGAGAAACACAGCTAGCTAGTCACAGTGTGCAAATTCAAGACAAATGGCTACCAATGAAAAGTCTGAACAAACTGTGACCGAAGCGCCTCTGCGGCCCGTGTGAGTAAGGGAGGTGCAGAAGCTAAGAGACCCCTCAGTGCCTCTCAAAGCAACTGGCACCTGAAGCTAAGGTAATGCTGTATGTCAACTATACTCCAATTAAAAAAGGCAATTGGAACTGTCGTGCGGAAAACCAAAAAGCCAAAACTCCCTAACAGTCATTCCCTGCTCTGCACCACTATATATACACGTACGTAGCAAAATCTTTTTACTCTCGTAGCAAAAGTGAATTTTACCATTCCAGCTGGTTACTGGCTGGGGAACCGCGGGGGGCGTAATTTCGTATTCCCTCAGGCCCTGTGACCTTCCACACAAAGGTGGGTCAACAAATCTCTCCACCGCGTGTGAGAAATGGGATAATACAACCCACACGAATCCACACGTTCCCTAAGGGTCTACAACGCGTTCCTGTATTTTACGTAAATAATCATCCACCCGGCAAACAGGACGAGGAAGACCCCTTACGACGGCGTACGGGACTGCGATCGGGACAGCCCTGTTCTTGCACGCCTCCATTCTCGCTACACCACCCGTCCTGTTCAATAGCCAAGGGCGCGGCGGGGTCCTCGGGGGTCGCCCGGGCGAGCCCAGGCGCGCCCCGGCCCCTTGCCCCGCGGTACCGGCGCTTCCAGCCACCCCCCCACGAGGAGGCTGCTGTGCTGCGGGCCGCACGCGAAGCCCTCCTCGGCCCGGCCGCCCGGCCCCGCGGCCGCACGGAGGCCGTACACTTCCTCGCGGCCCCGGGCTCCCCGCGCGAGCGACCCTCGGCGGCGCCCCCCGTCCCGACGAGCGCCCGCGGCCGGGCACCTGCGTCCAGCGGCAGCTCGTAGAGCACGAGCGCGGCCGAGAGCAGCGCGACAGCGGCCGCGCCCGCGAGCACAGCCCGGGCCCCCGCCGGAGGGGCCATGCCCGCAAGGCCCGGATCGCTCTTACCTCGGGAGCAGGCCCCGGCAGCCGCCCAAACGGGACCCACGGCCATCGGCAGACTTCCGGGCTCCCGGCCGCCCCCGCGCCGCCGCCGGAACCAGAGCTCGCGGCGGACTTCCGGCTCCCGAAGGCCCACGCGCGGCCGCCGGAAGCCGACCCTCAAAATCTGGCCTCGCCCCGCCCACAGACTGGCCTCCACCAGTCATAGACGGTGTCTGGTGATTGACAAGCTCAATGCCGAACCCCGCAGGGCCCCAGCCCCCGACCGCTGGCGTTTTGCCGGAAAGCAGGTTCCGCCGTCGGGATGCGTCTTAGGGATTTAGTGTTTGGGTTCTTTTTATCGTTCCTCTTTGGGGCTGCGGGCGTTATAGGAAGGGGGTCAGAACGCTGCCCAGTTGACAAGCACGTTACTCTCGGAAAGCAGGTGGGGGCCTGGAGCACCACCTCTGCGCAGTCCCGTTCCGTTCTGGGCCGGCTGTGCGCCCTGGACTCCACGCCGGTCTGTCCCCCTGGGGGGCTCCCGCGCGGCTCCCCGCCGCCGCTGCAGCCGCTCCAGTCAGAAACCTGGAGGGCGTCCTCTCTCCCCGCCTTGCCCCTCCCGCATCCCTCGTCCTGAGGGCCTGCCTTGCAGAGGCTGCTTTCAGGCAAACAGGCTAGAGCCCGGGAAGGCGGACGGGCCCATGGCGACCCCCTGGCTGAACACGGCCGGGCCCACTGGGGCGGCGCGGTACAGAACGGAGACGTGTTGTTCACGGTTCCGAAGTGCGCAAGTCTAAATTCAGCCTTTGGTGGTGGCCGTCGCTCCTTGGCGTCGCTTGCCTTGCAGCTGTGTCCCTACCGTCTCTGCCTGTGTCCTCAAACGGCGTTCTTCGTGAGTCTGGCCTCATATGGTGGTACTTTCCTCTTACAAGGACGCCAGTCATGTTGAATTAGGGCCCACTCTGATCACCTTATGCTAATTTGGTCATCAGCAAAGACCCTACTTTCAAGTAAGGGTACACTGACAGATACTGGGGGTTGGGACCTGAACAGATCTTGGGGGACACAACTCACCCATAACACCTAAATGCGCCTCCTATTACTTCCCTACAGCAACAGGAAGATCGTGCCACTCCTCTTGAGGTGGTTTTGAATGTAGGTGAGGTTCGGTAGGGTAAGGTCCCGAGCCAACCACCGGGAAAGGATTCTTGAGACATCTTTGGTGCAAAAAGGTGATTTCACCAAAAGCATGGGGACAGGACCGAGTGCAGAAAGAGCTGCTACACCGGGGTTGTGAGGGGTGGCTCATTATATACTTGGGAGTTGGGGGAGGTAAGGAAATGGGAGGTTTTCAAAAGGACTTTCATATGCTAAAAAGGACCTACGAGATACTGGAGGCCTTGCCATTGTCAAGTTAAGGTGGTTTTTGCCACTAGCAAGGCATTAACATTAAGACAGTTGGGAGCTTCCTTCCAGAAGTTAAGGTATTGTTACGAATACTCTTTTGGGGGCGGGGAGTGGGGGCGCCTGGGTGGCTCAGATGGTTGGGCGTCTGCCTTTGGATCGGGTCAGGATTTCCGGGTTCTGGGATAGGGCCTGCATCCAGCACTCTGCTCAGCAGGGAGCCTGCTTCTCCCCCTGCTTGTGCTCTCTCTCTCAAGTAGATGAATAGAATCTTAAAAAAAAGAAAAAAAAAAAGAATGCTCTTTTTTTTTTGGTAAGATTTTATATATTTGACAGAGAGAGAGAGAGAGAGCACAAGCAAGGGGAGTGGCAGAGGGAGAGGGAGAAGCAGGCTCTCCACTGAGCAGGTGCCTGACCCGGGGCTTCATCCCAGGACCTCGGGATCATGACCTGAGCCAAAGGCAGATGCTTCGCCCACTGAGCCACCCACGCACCCCAAGAATGCTTCTTTCTTGTGAATCACTAAGACATTTGTAAACTGAGGGAGAGTCCTGTCTTGCAGGACTCTAATCTCTATAAGTTAACCATTTGTTTTTCCTTCTCTGAGCTTTAGGGCAGCCAGGAGTGCCTGAGGAATATCACACATATTCCACCTGGGAGTGTGTGTGTTGTGTGTGTGTGGGGGGGGGGGTTGTGTGTTGTCAGCTTGTGCTTTGTCCTCAGCTTGCCTTCTGCTCCCTCATCACTCCTCATCCAAAGTTCCTTTCTTCCAAGGCCTTCTAGCCCCTATGTGATCCATGCACCTCAATCTCCTGCCACTGCCCTCCTTGCTCCCTCCTGGCTACACCAGCTTCTTTGCCCTTAGTCTACCTTGCCCAGCATGTTCCTGCTCTCCCTCCTGCTGGCGTGCTCTTTCTCCTGATACTGACATGGAGTGTGCATGCAGCATTTTATCAGTGCCAAGCCATTCCTGACCATTCTATGTAAAATCCATACCCCTTCTTTCCTGCTTCCTGTCTTGTTATTCTCTTAGTACTTCTCACTACTTGAGATATCCGCTCATTTATCCATTCATTGTCATCTACGCCACCATCACCATGTCTATAGAAGTTAGCTCCAATGGAAAACCTTTCTTTTGTTCTGTACTATATGCTCAGGGCATAGAACAGGGCGCATAGGAGGTGCTCCCTCTTTCTCTTTACTGAGGCATAATTTACATAACAATAAACTTCACGGATTGTAAGTGTTCACTTCCATGAGTTTGAACAAACGTATATAATCATGTAATCACTGATGTGGGAAACAAAGGCAAAAGAAAAAATTAATTTCCTTACTACTTACACCCCATTGACAGGTCCTTGAAACAGGCAGAGGGACCTTCCTCTAGGAGCTCAGCTGCCTGGATGTTGACACTTTGCTAAGGGCCAAAGGTAATCTTAGCCAAACTCCCCAGGATCCTGTGAGTCTACTTTAAACATATAGAGATTCCTTTGGAAACTCTCTTTCTCTCTACCCCCCAAGATACAGGTTAGTAATCATCCTCCAAGCATGTGGCCTCCTGATATACATCTGAAGAGTCTCAAGACTGCGGGTTTACTAAATAGTATTAAATAGCCTTTTCCTAACAATAGCTAGCCCCCTCAGGGTCCTGGAAACCTTGTTTCCAAAATACCTTGGAGGCTTGTTCTATCCCTAACCTGTCCCAACTTGAAAGCATATAATCAATCACCCCTCACAACCCCAGTGCAACTCTTTCTGCCTACAGGTCCTGTCCCTGTGCTTTAATAAAGGGGTGCCTGGGTGGCTCAGTATTAAGCGTCTGACTTTGGCTCAGGTCATGATCCCAGGGTCCTGGGATGGAGCCCCACATCGGGCTCCCTGCTCGGCGGGGAGCCTGCTTCTCCCTCTCCCACTCCCCCTGCTTGTGTTGCCTCTCTTGCTGTGTCTCTCTGTCAAATAAATAAAATCTTAAAAAAAAAAAAAAAAAACTGCCTTTCTGCACTGAAGATGTGTGAAGAATTCTTGACTGTTTGCTCCTGGACCCCAACATTTCCTACATCAATCACCACCACATTAGTGATTTAGAACACACCTATCAAGACACCCCAATTCAGGCTTTTGTTGCTATTATAAATGTTATTTTCTTAATTTTAATTTTTATTTATTTATTATTATTATTTTTTAAGGATTTTATTTATTTGACAGAGAAAGACACAGCAAGAGAGGGAACACAAGCAGGGGGAGTGGAAGAGGGAGAAGCAGGCTCCCCTCTGAGCAGGGAGCCTGATGTGGGGCTCGATCCCAGGACCCCGGGATCATGACCTGAGCCGAAGGCAGACGCGTAACGACTGAGCCACCCAGGCACCCCTTAATTTTAATTTTTAATTGTTCATTGCTCATATATGGAAATACTATTGATTTGCATATATTGACGTTGTATCCCTTGACCATGCCGAATTCACTAATTACTAGTTCTAGCAGATACTTTGAGGTTACTTGGGATCTTCTATATGAGCAGTGTCAGTTTGCCCATTTTTTGGTGATATTAACTTCATTAACTTTCTGGGTAGCCACCAAATTATTTATTACCAGTATGAACTCCTGAATTTTTATTTTACTCAACAAAAATTTATGAATTTTTATTTTATTCAGAATTTTAAATTTATTAACCACTGAGTTATTTGTTACCAATATGAATTCATGAATTTTTATTTTATTTCATTCATTTATTTTATTTACATCTTATTCATTATGTTACCCTTTTTTATACTTTAAATGCAAACATATTTAGGGGCGCCTGGGTGGCTCAGATGGTTAAGCGTCTGTCTTCGGCTCAGGTCGTGATCCCAGGGTCCTGGGATCGAGCCCCGCATCGGGCTCCCTGCTAGGTGGGGAGCCTGCTTCTCCCTCTGCCTCTGCCTCTCTCTCTCTCTCTGACTTTCATGAATAAATAAATAAAACATTTTTTAAAAAATGCAAACATATTTAATTATTTACATATTGATGGCCCATCTAGGGACCCCGGCCTCAGAGCCATCTCTAATCCTCACGGTCCAATCCTTCCCACAGAGCGCAGGAAGGGAGTTCCTTCTCTTGTGCGGGCAGGGCCTGGGGAGGGGAGATCTGTGCAAACTGAGAAAACTCGTGCAGACCAGTCACGGGGAACCTTCCTTACTCAGCTGTGGCGTTGTGTTGGCACTGTCCGGGCCAGGAAGGAAGGAAGAGAGTGAGGGCTCACTGGACACTGCATTGTTCTGACTGGCCTTCCCAGGCCAAACACCGCAGGGACAGGAAGGTAAGCGGTCTGAAATGCGGGCACCCGCTTCATTTCCAGACTTCACCTCTGACGTGGAACACATTTGACCCATCTCTCTGGCAACCTCCAGGGGTGACCTTCACCTTCCAACTGTCTTCGCCCGGCTCCTGGCCTGCAGGCTGCTGTCCTCATCGGCCAGGCTGAGAATCAGATCTAAGAACAATCGGAACCAGATCTTTTCCTCTTCCAAAGGTGATATAGCACATTGGATAATATTACAGGAGACCTGTAAGTATGTTTTTTAATATTCACTCACAAAATCTGAAAAATCGTTGAAGCTGAAATAATCTGTACTTTTTTAGTAAGCAGGAAAGAGACCAGAATTGATGTAACACTAACAAGGGATTTGCATTCCTATTAATTTAATTACCTCAGTGGGAGCCGCTGCTTAGCATACCCATTGGTAACTGGGAGAACGTCCTTCCTGTTGAGAACTATCTCTTGTGACATCTTACCTATTTTTCACTTTGCAACGAAGAGGAATGTGATTAAGGGATATGGCCAGAAGGAAAAATAAATTTTATTTGCAAGATCAGCAAATCTTTAATTTCAGACTTAAGGAAAAACCAGTCAGGCTCAGGTAGATTTGGTCTCTCTGGGGGCTTATTTGAAATGCAGAAGCATAAAGGTACCTATTGTTTCCATAAAAATCAAGTTATCTGTTTTAAGTGATTGCTATGATTCAGCATCTTTTTTAAAAACACAAATAAAATAATCCCTTGAAATATTGATGCTGCTATTGATCTGCTTGGCCACGGCCGGCTGAGAACCCTCTTAGTCCTGGTGTAGCATCAGTGGGAGGGCTGCCGTGGGGACCCCAGAGAGGCCGCGGGTGAATGTTGAACTTCACTCTATAATTTCACCACAATCTCTTCTCCCGGGTCAGTTTGATGGGGCTGGTGAACAAAATCCTTATCAAAATCTCAAGTGATTAAAGCACTTCTCGTATTTGTCACATTTGCAGATGGCAGTGTGTCGGGTAATGTTTTTCACTTTCTCTTACATAAAAACTCAAGGGAGTAGTTCTCCATCCTTTCTCCCTGCATTTAACAAAGGAAGGCACACTGCACTGAATCTGAGATCATGAAATTCACCTTCCTGATCCCGGTTCAGGAGGTGAGCCTAGAGGAAGTAAAACGTCTAGCTGTGTCCCTGTGGGAGCACTTCTGTATTACAGATCAACCACCAATAAGGGAAGTGATTGGCTCTTTCTATAGTGCTAATCTCAGTGAAAGACTTTAGAATGCCCACATTTTTAATAAAAATGTTTTATATATGGGGCTCCTGGGTGGCTCAGTCGGTTAAGCATCTGCCTTCAGCTCAGGTCAGGATCTCAGGGTCCTGGGATCGAGCCCCACATGGGTCTCCCTGCTCTGCGGGAAGCCTGCTTCTCCCTCTCCCTCTGTGCTTTCTCTCTCTCAAATAAATTAAATTAAATTAAAAAGTCTTGTATAATCATAACATAAAGGGAAAAAACACTACATTGAGTCTGGATATAAGAGTTCTAATCCTCAGCAATAGCCTTGAGCATTTGGGAGAGACGCCTAAACATTTCGGGTCACAGAGATTTTATCACCAAAAGATGAAATTGGATGAGATAACCTTTAATGTTTCTGTCAGCAATAGAAACATGTATTTGACCTAATAATACACTTGCTTACATGTTATCTTTTATTTCGTGTTACTTTTAAAAGACTTTTAAAATCCTGTAAGAGGAGCAGTAATGTGCTTGGGGGTTGAAAGTAATCGAGAATTTATATAGAGCAAGTCCCAAATGATATTCAGACCAATATCTCCCCTATTTTTTAATTGAAAAATACCGTCCTCTTTCTTTAATTGAAGTTTTTCTCCAAAATAAAATTAGAGAAATCCCCTGGAAGGGTGGCCAGGTGATGTTACCCGGTTGGAAGCCAGCTGACTATCCTCTGTGCCTAAGCCGCTCAGGCTCATCAACCGCAGAGCTCAGCCTCTCTGCCAGACCAGTTCGTGTTTCTGTTATTCTTGGTGGATTGTGTAAGGGGGGGAAACAATCTTCCTCTGCCCTCTCAGAGTAGGCGTCTATAATCAGACTGACAAAAGACAGATGAACAGGAGAAAAGGTAGATACATTTCGCTTCTTGGTATTTTAATTTTTTCCCATGAGTGGAGGCCTTCCCAGAAAAGAAATGAAGACCCAGGGGCACCTGGGTGGCTCAGTTGTTGGGTGTCTGCCTTCGGCTCAGGTCATGATCCCAGGGTCCTGGGATCGAGCCCCACGTTGGGCTCCCTGCTCGGCTGGGAGCCTGCTTCTCCCTCTCCCGCTCCCCCCGCTTGTGTTCCTGCTCTCGCTATCTCTCTGTGAAATAAATAAAATCTTAAAAAAAAAAAAAGAAAGAAAGACCCAGGGAAGTGGTCCAATTAGGGGGTGGGGGCGTATATGCCATTATAACAAAAGGCAGTAAGTTGTGGAGAAGTGACCAGACCAAGGAAATGGGGTTTGGGCGTCCAGAGGCAGATACGGGGGAGACTAATGGAAGCCGAGGGATGTTCAGGGAGGCTGTTTACATAGAGGCGTCCTGGCAGCATCGGTCGTCCTTCCCTTCCTGGTTCCACAGAGGGGCACCCCTTCCCAAGGCAGACTCACTCCCTGCTCGTAGGTGAGGGAGACAGCAGAGAGTTCCCCTGTGTCTGCTGCTTCCTAATTGTCTCCAGCTCAGAATAATCTTGACGCCAAAGTGGTATATTTGGGGGTGGCATATTCCTTTTTTTTTTTTTTAAGATTGATTTATTTTAGAGGGAGAGTGAGCAAACACAAGGAGGAGGGGCAGAGGGAGATGGAGAAAGAATCCAAACCAGACTTGGAGCTGAGCACAGAGCCCGGCGCGGGGCTCGATCCCAGGACCCTGAGATCATGACCTGAGCTGAAACCAAGAGTCAAGACGCTTAACCCACTGTACCACCCAGGCGCCCCTGGGGATGGGGTGGCATATTCTGATTACATATTCAACTATCACACATGTGGGAACTGGGATTTTCGCAGCACTGTCTACGAGAACTTTCTATAACGGTAGAAATGCTCCGTATCTGTGCTATCCAGCATGGTAACCACTAGCCACGTGTGACTATTGCAGACACGAAGTGTGGCTGGTGCAAGTGAGGGGCTGAACTGTAAATGTGGTTTTTTTTTAAGGTTTTATTTATTTATTTGAAAGACAGAGACAGAGACAGAGATAGCCAGAGAGAGCACGAGCAGGGGGTGGGGGAGAGGGAGAAGCAGGCTTCCCACTGAGCAGGGAGCCCGATGTGGGACTCGATTCCAGGACCCTGGGGTCATGTCCTGAGCCGAAGGCAGAGGCTCAACCGACGGATCCACCCAGGCGCCCTGAACTTTAAATGTTACCCAACTCGGGGCGCCTGAGTGGATCCGTTGGTTAACTGTCTGCCTTCGGGTCAGGGCATGATCCCAGGGTCCTGGGGTTGAGCCCCACATCGGGCTCCCTGCTCAGCGGGGAGCCTGCTTCTCCCTCTCCTCCCCCTGTTCATGCTCTCTTTCGCTATCTCTGTCTCTTTCTCAAATAAATAAATAAAATTTAAAAAATAATACTAAATGTTACCCAACTCAGACAGGCACCTGTGGCTAGCCGCTACCATACAGATGGCAGAGCTCTGGGACCCTAAAACCATCAATAGACGGAAAATACCAGGTTAGCTTGGGGCAGAGGAGCTTCACGTTGTCCCTGTTTAGTGCACTGTCCCCACACTTCATTCTGGGATGGGGTGCCCTCTACTGTCTCCAGGATGACAGTTTTGAAATGTCCTCCATGTGAGCATCTTCAGACTACAATCCGCTCTGTAAACCCTGCACATTAGCCCAGAACTAACTGTTGTTACCACAGAGTCCCGTATTTAAGTGTGTTCCTTCAAACTTCATTCAAGCAGAACATGAACCCAGGAGACAATTACAGCTTTCTGTCTCGGTAGTGAGAGGAACACAAACCATTCTGGATTCATGATGCACCGTTATTTCTGCTAAATCTTTTCTTCCTGGCAGGGGTAATGTCCCTAGACCTCACTAGGAGCTGATGTCCAGCATTCCCATTTATATTCTGTGTTACAGTAAAGAGAGCCAGGAAGACAGAACTCGGGAGATGCGCGTGGGTCTGAGGCAGATGTGGGCAAAATGGCAGGTGAACTTAAGTCCAATCCAGGAAACATGGAAATCTAACAAAGAATCTTATTTATTTATTTATTTATTTATTTATTTATTTAAGAGCAGGGGCGGGGGGAGGAGCAGAGGGAGAGGGATAAGCAGACTCTGAACTAAGCTTCGAGACCGATGTGGGGCTCGATCTCACGACCCTGAGATCATGACCGAAGCCAAAACCAAGAGTTGGAGGCTTAACCGACTGAACCACCCAGGTGCTCCATCTAAAGAAGAATCTTAAGGAGACGATCTGAACCTCTGTTTGGTTTGTGAGCATTACCATTTTACGGGTCAGAATTATTTCTTACAGTTGATTCAGGGGCAAGTGAAAACAAAAAGAGAGTCAGAGATGGAGAAGCCGGGCTGGATTCTGCTTAGGGGATATAATACTATCAAATTCAAACCAATATTTGACTTAGTCAACAACTTCACTTGGGGAGAAAAAAAATGATGCAAAGTTTGTGGAGGAAAACCACTGACTTACCTGATGGGCCACATGCATCACTAAGTAGAAATTGGAGCACCAGAAATTTCTTGTCCTCCCTGCAGGGTATCTGGTGAACAATTAGAGAACATGAGTCATAAGATGCAGCGATGCATGTGGGCTTAAATCACCAATGAGGGGCCCCTGGGTGGCTCAGTCAGTGAAGCTTCTGCCTCCAGCTCAGGTCATGATCCCAGGGTCCTGGGATCGAGCTCCGCATCGGGCTCCCTGCTCCGCAGGAAGCCTGCTTCTCCCTCCCCCACTCCCCCTGCTTGTGTTCCCTCTCTCTCTGTGTCTCTCTGTCAAATAAATAAATAAAATCTTAAAAAAAAAAAAGAATTCTTGAGACATCTTTGGTGCAGAAAGGCAGTTTTATTAAAGCATGGGGACAGGACCCGGGGGCAGAAGGAGCTGCTCTGGGGTTTTGAGGGATGACTGATTATATGCTTTCAAGTTGGGACGGGTTAGGGATAGAACAAGCCTCCAAGGTATTTTGGAAACAAGGTTTCCAGGACCTTCCCAGGACCCTGCGGGGGCTGGCTTTTTAGGAAAAGGCTCTTTAGTACTGTTTAGTAAACCCTCAGTCATGAGACCCTTCAGGTGTATATCGGTGGGCCATATGCTTGGAGGATGATTACTGACATATCTTGGGAGGGGAGGGGTAGAGGTAAAGGAAGTTTCCAGAGGAATCTCTATATGTTTAAAGTAGACTCACAGGATCCTGGGGAGTTCGGCTAAGTTTACCTTTGGCCCTTAGCTAAGTGTGGACATCGAGGCAGCTGAGCTCCTAGAGGAAGGTCCCTCTGCCTGTTTCAAGGACCTGTCAATGGGGTGTAAGTAGTAAAGAAATTTAATTTTTTCTTTTGCCTTTGTTTCCCACATCAAATACTTTAGAGAAAAGCGCAGAGTATGACAACACGAGTTGCCTTCAAGTCAAAAGGCCAAAGGAACAAATCCAATGTAGAAGCACGTAGAGCAAGAAGGATTTGCAGCTTGCTTCTGCAGAAACTAAGAGACATTGTAGGAGGGTCGTAGGCTTGGGTCTGATTGAGTTTTTAACCTGGGCCATCATGATACAGTTACGGGTGTAGATTTAAGCAGATGTTCAGGAGGCAGAATGAATGTGTCAAGGGCTACTTAACTCATTTCCACGAATATTGTTTCTACGCACAGGGCACCTGCCGTGGGCGGGGGTAGGAGCCTGAGCAGATCTGCCGGCCCTCACGTCACAGGCAGGGGGCCTGCGGGCCGGCCAGGGGAGCGCTGGGCAGGGCGGGAGAAAGGCAGAGCTGGGACGCTGCCCAAGAACCGCCTCCTGCTGTCGGGTTGGCATAGATGGGGATCCTGCCCTTGAGTTGGGAAAGTTGGCTCTCGCCCCGGGTCTGGAGGTTAACCCAGACTGATCTGACTGAAGCAGGACAGTTCATTCCATTTCGCTTGATGATTGCCTAAGTGATGCAATCCTGGCCTCTCGGCTGTGAGGGAGGCTTCCGGGAATGGGTTCTTTGCTCTCCGAGAGATGCCGGCAGGTGGAGGCCAGCCTGTACACGATCCCTAGAGCTGGAGAAGCCTTGGGAGCCTGAGGACATCTCGCCGGCACGGAGCCTATGTGCTGAGCAGGGCAGGGTCGGGAGATGGAGAGAACCCAGGTCTTCATGGAGCTGCGCGAGCCGACAGCGGACGGCCCAGCAGGGTGAGCCGCGGCCCGGTTGGCCCCAGGCTCTTCAAGCTACCGCACCGAGCTCCCCGCCACACTCTCGGCATTGTACTGAGGGCTGGGTGTGTCCTGTTTGCTCTCCTCCTCCCAGCGATTTTTTTCTTAAACTTTTTATTTTGAGATGGCTGTGGATTCACATGTGATTGGAAGGAGTAATACAGAGAAATCCCATATACTCTCTGTCCAGTTCTCCCAATGGTGACGTGTTACGAGACCACAGCGCAACATCACGACCAGGATAGTGACGCTGATACAGTCGAGTATAGGATATTCCCATCATTGCCCTGTACAGACGCCCCACGTCCTTCCCTCCCAACCTCCCGAACCCCGGCGGCCACTGAGCTGTCCTCCATCACTAGGATCGCGTCTCTTCAAGCACGTTACTGAAATGAAATCTACGGTATGGAACCTTCTGGGGTCAGATTTGGGGACGCCGCCATCTTCTGCCACAGTGATTTTTCTGGGTAGATACCGTCATCCCTGTGTGTGTTCGTTTCCCAGGGCTGTGGTAACAACCCACACGAAGGGGCGGCTTAAAGCCACAGAGATCCTGGTCTCACCGTTCTCCCATCTGGAGGCCAGAGTCCAAAATCAAGGTGTCCGCAGACCCTGCTCTCTCCGAAAGCTGTGGGGACATCCTTCCTTGCCTCTTGCAGCTTCCGTGGCGACCCCTGGCGACCCCTGGCTGACAACTGCACACACGTCACATGCGTCCACAGGCGAGTCTGCGTCTTCACATGACCTGTTCATCTTAAACATTTCTTTCTTTCTTTCTTCCTTCTTTCCTTCCTTCCTTCCTTCCTTCCTTCCTTCCTTCCTTCCTTCCTTCCTTCCTTCCTTTCTTTCACAGAGAGAGAGAGAGAGAGCACGGGAGAGAGCGAGAGCGAGAGCGAGCACAAGCAGGGGGAGTGGCAGAGGGAGAAGCAGACTCCCCACGGAGCAGGGAGCCCAATGCGGGGCTTGATCCCAGGACCCTGGGATCATGACCTGAGCCGAAGGCAGACGCTTAACGACTGAGCCACCCAGGCGCCCTATCATGACCTGTTCTTCTAAGGACACCAGTCACATTGGTTAGGGGCCTGCTCTACACCAGGATGACCTCACCTTAACTTCACGAATTGCATCCTAACGACCTCCTATGGGGGTATGATTCCATTTTTGTCCAGCGCACCAGAATTGGCTCTGCGGCTCCTTTTAAGGAGTCAGCCGGTGGGATCCTTAGGGAACGTGTTCTGTGCGTTCTCTGAGCACCCTGCCAGCCGGTGCTCACCCCGTGTGACCCCGTCCCCCCAGTGTGAGCATGGTGGGGGGAGGGCAAGGCACCACCAGACCCAATGAGATCCCCGCCTCGCTAGCAGACTCTAGCGCCTCTCTCCCCCACGTCGGGTTTATGAATACTGGCATCGTTTCTCTGTTCCATTTTATAATTATTTATTGCTGATGACAGCATGCTGTTGATTTTTTTGCAGTGTTAATATTATTCCCAAAAACCTATTATTTCTCTGTAAATGTTCTCAGATTTGGTACATACAAAATTTTATCATCCGCAGAGAACGACAGCTTTGTTTTCCTTTCTAGTTTCTATTTCTCCTTCCTTCCTGCTGTGCCGGCCAGGACGCCCTATTCACTGATGAATCATGGGGATTAAAGTGCCCTTATATTATCTTTCACCTTCATGGAAATGCTTTTATTTTATTTTTTTAAGAATTCTATTTTTTTAAAGATTTATTTATTTATTTATTTGACAGAGAGAGAGAGAGAGAGAGTGAGAGAGGGAACACAAGCAGGGGGAGTGGGAGAGGGAGAAGCAGGCTCCCTGCTGAGCAGGGAGCCCGATGTGGGACTCGATCCCAGGACTCCAGGATCATGACCTGAGCTGAAGGCAGACGCCCAACCATCTGAGCCACCCAGGCGCCCCTGATGTCCCCTATTTTTATAATCTGTATGAAATAGGGTTATCTGCCTTCCCAGGCCGTGCCTGGTGTCATCCGACGAGCGGAAGCTTTTGACCACAGATTCAATTTCTTCAATGGTTAATAGTTTATTTAGTTTCCACTTTTTCTTCACTCAATTTTTGCGATTTTTATAGAAAATCATATGTTCAGGGGCGCCTGGGTGGCTCAGTTGGTTGATTGTCTGCCTTCAGCTCAGGTCATAATCTCAGGATCCTGGGATCGAGTCCCATGACGGGCTCCTTGCTCAGCGGGAAATCTGCTTCTCCCTCTCCCACTCCCCCTGCTTGTGTTCCTTCTATGTGCTCTCTCTCAAATAAATAAATAAAATCTTTAAAAAAAAGAAAGTCATACATTCATTTAAGTTTTCAAAATATTAACATAAAACACTTAGAGTATTCTTATTATTTTAAATTTTATCTGCAGGGCACCTGGGTGGCTCAGTCGGTTGATCATCTGCCTTGGCTCAGGTCATGATCCCGGGGTCCTGGGATCGAGCCCCATGTATGGTTCCCTGCTCAGTGGGGAGCCTGCTTCTCCCTCTGCCTCTGCCCCTCCCTCTGCTCATGCTTTCTCTCTCACTTTCAAATAAACAAATAAAAAAAAATTATCTGCCGCTTTACCACCTTTCTTCCTATACTTCTTTGTGATTCTTTTTTAGTCATGTTAGAGTTTGATCTATTAATAATCTTTTTTAAACTAGGTTTTGATTTTGTTCATCTTTTCTGTTGTTTCTTTGATTGTATTTTTTATCAACTTTTGTTATTTTTATATTTCCTTGTGCTTTATTTAAATTTACTTTGTTGTTCCTTTTTCAATTTTTAAAATTAAACTTTTTTTTAAGATTGATGGATTATGTCAATATCAATATCCTGGTTGTACTGAAAGCAGGGATTGATTGATTATTATTATTTTTTTTTTAGTAAGCGCTACACCCAGTGTGGGGCTGGGACTCACGACCCTGAGATCAAGAGTTGCATGCTCTACCAACTGAGCCAGTTGGGCGCCCCTAAAAATAAACTCTTTTTTTTTTAAGATTTTATTTATTTATTGGACAGAGAGATAGAGAGAGAGCACAAGTAGGCAGAGCGGCAGGCAGAGGGAGAGGGAGAAGCAGGCTCCCCACTGAGCAGGGAGCCCGATGTGGGGCTCGATCCCAGGACCCTGGGATCATGACCTGATCTGAAGGCAGACGCTTAACGACTGAGCCACCCAGGCGCCCTAAAAATAAACTCTTAAGTTAGTTCTTTTTAGTATTTCTTCCTTTTAAATCGAGGCCTTGGAAGGTGAGTTTCCCTGCGGGTCTGGCCTCTGGGGCATCTCACAAGTAGAGCATGCTGACTGCTCGCTGACGTTCGGTTCTGTGTAGTTGGTCTCCCTGCCTCCACCAACCTTCCTCCTTAATCCCAGAGTGACTCAGTACACGTGGACAAACACTTAGGTTCTCTAACCTCCTTTTGTTGTTTATTTTCAACCCAATGGTCTTCTTCTCCTTTTTTTTTTTTTAGGATTTTATTTATTTATTTGACAGAGAGAGACACAGCGAGAGAGGGAACACAAGCAGGGGGAGCAGGAGAGGGAGAAGGAGAAGCAGACTCCCCACTGAGCAGGGAGCCCGATGCGGGGCGCGATTCCAGGACCCTGGGATCATGACCTGAGCCGAAGGCAGACGCTTCATGACTGAGCCACCCAGGTGCCCCAACCCATTGGTCTTCTATCTGGAAGGTGTGGTGTGAATGATTCCAGATTTTGGACAGTCATCGATGTCCATCGTGACCTGGGTGCACATACATTTTTGTGAATCTTCCATTTCACATATATTTTATTTAAGTGTCCATGAGAAGGGGACAGCAGGCATTAACTTCATTTTCAGATGAGGAAATTAATCGTTAAACATAGTAAGAGCCTTCCCATGGTCACGTATTTATTAAGAGAGAGACCAAAGATTTAAACCCAAACTTGCTTCATTAAAACTCCTCTCCACTGTTTACAGTCATCATCCTTAGGAGGAGCATGGAACAGGTTTCATTTTTACTTTGCATTCTTATGCAACATTTGATTTAAAAAAAAAAAAACGACAAGCATGTGCTGTTTTTGCAATTTTACAGAAAACAATGAAAATGGGGCAGGAGTTAGGCAATCCCACTTCTGGGAATTTACCACAAGGGCTTATTCCCACAGAATCAAAAAGAGATGTGCAGAAGGAGGCTCATCCTAACAATGTCTGCAAGGGTGGGGACCCCCAAACAATGTGACTGGTGTGTGAAGGGCCCGTTACGTTACACCCACACCCCAACACCACTATGGTGGCACCATCTCTAAGATTTCCTGTAATCGTATTTGCGTGCAGTCAGGAGATATCTGGAAAGATCTTTCTAGTACACTAAGTAACATTGGTTTATTTCTGGACAATGCCATCTAAAGTGTTTTTTAGGGGCACCTGGGTGCCTCAGTTAGTTAAGCGTCTGCCTTTGGCTCAGGTCATGATCTCCGGGTCCTGCGATTGAAACGGTTGGGCTCCCTGATCAGTACGGAGTCTGCTTCCCCCATTCTCTCTGCCACACCCCCTGCTGTGTTCTCGCTCTCTCTCACTCTCTCTCTCTCAAATAAATAAATAAAATCTTTAAAAATATATAAAGTGTTTTCTATTTTTGCTTTGTCGTGTTTAAATAGTGGTTGGATGTTTGAGACCATACCGCGTATTTAAGCCAGTTTCAGAAGTAAATAAATAAACAAATAAATACATAGAAGAGAAGGCATCATGCCTGAATGGTACCAGATTCTGAGGTACTGGGGGCTAAGACTTCAATATATCTTTTTTAGGGAACAATTTAACCCACGACGGGCAGCTTAACTCCACGTCCAGTTCCTCACTTCAGGAGGGGTGGGGATGAGAAGCTGACCCCCGGTCCCTCTCCTTCCTTCCGCTTCTACACACTCAGGGGTCAGTGTCTCTTACGTGCGCAGGTCTAGACAGCGGCTGCAGTCATCATGAGCTCAAGGCCAGAGGTGACCCCGCATACACAGCCTCCAAACACCCATCAGGGGGAATAGTGTGGTGTTGGAACCCTCACTGCAGGATTCCCTAAAAGAATGTCAGTGGAGGGGCACCTAAGTGGGTTGGTTGGTTGAGCGTCTGACTCTTGATTTTGGCTCAGGGCACAATCTCGGGGTCCTGAGGCCGAGCCCCGCGTTGGACTCCGCACTGGGTGTGCCGTCTGTTTGAGATTCTCTCTTTCCCTCCACCCCTCCCTGCTGCCTCTCTCTGTCAAATCAATCAATCTTTATTTGGAAAAAAAAAAAAAAAAGGAATCTCAGTGGAATCCACATTTAAAGCCCTCAAGGGATTCGTGCTGAGGTTAGCCCAAGAAGCGTCCTCAGGATTCTGGAAGAGGATTCATCCTTTCCCTAAACCTGGGTATGGGAGGGTCCTACCCTCCCCAGGAGGGGGACAAGAAGCTGGGCGTCACAGTGCTGCAGGAGTCTTGGTGGCTGTCAACCATCGCTGCACATTAGAATCATCTGGGGGATGGGGTGTGTGCTTTCCTAAAATACTACCACCTGGGCAAAGATTGGGAGAGCTGCTCCACATCATGAGCCTTGAGGGAAATGCAGATCCAACCCAGAGTGAGATACCACTACATACCCATGAGAAGGACTAAAAGTAAGGGGACCGCCATCCCCAGGGTTGGCAAGGACAGGAAGAAATTAGAATCTCATGCCCTGCTCGTGGGAACATACGGGGAAACACGCACTGTGGAAAGCAGCTTGGCAGTTTCTTCGAAAGTCAAACATATTCCTACCATACGAGCCAGATATTTGATTTCTAGGTATTTACTCAAGAGAAATGAAAGCACATTGTCTACACTAAGGTTTGTCCGTGAACAGTCATGGCAGCTGATCTGTTAACAGCCAAAGAGTGGAAATAACCCAAATACCCAACAAATGAGTGGATAAACTCTGGTGTGCCCACGCAGTGCAGTACTACATAGCAAAAAAAGAAGCCAATTATTGATCACTACAACAACATGAAGAACGTATGCCAAGTGAAAGAAAGAAGCCAGACAAAATGCACCATACATACTGCATCATTCTATGTCGAGAAAATTTTGGAAACTGCACACAGATGCACAGTGATGGAAGATCAGGGGTTCCCTGGGGACAAGGTGAGTGGGAGGAGCACAAGGGACAGATGACAAAGGGGCACAAGGGGACTTTTGGGGTGATAGTTTCATTATCTTCAGTGTGGTGACGGTCCCACAAGTGAACACATTTCTCAAACTTCCCCAGCTGAGCACTTTAAAAATGGACAGTTTGTTGTCTGCCGACTACCTCAATAAAGTTGGTAACAAACAAACAAGGACCTGCTGTCCAAGCCCCAGTCCCCAGAGATTCTGACTTTGTTGGTCGGGGGACAAAAAGTTTGGTACTTTTAAGAAACTGCCCCTAAAATCAGCTGGGCATGATCACTGGCCCTTGTAACTTATGGTGGGTGTTGACATGTGAGAAACTAGGCTAAGGCTACGCACTTTTAATTTCTGTGGCTGAGAGAAAATATGTTTAAACCAACCCAACGGACATTGTCTAGGAAAATAGTTAAATTCACCACGTTGTTGGTTGAACTACATGAAATCACCATTTTTAGGTCATCAAAGCTCAGGTGCCGGCAACTTCATATGGTTCAACCTATATTTTCAATAGTTTCACCTTCATCAAATGGTAGTTGTTCATAACTGTCATATTAGGGCTGGACCAAGTCCCACTAATGAAGTCACTAATGACGTCACCTTGGACCATTAGAGCTTCAACCTGGGCCATTTGAGCACCCTTCATGAACCACACTCCCCCTCTCTCCCCCCAAAGCCAGTAAATCCTGGCATGGTGCAAGGAAATACGATTTCAGTTGAAAGTAAACACTATGAGGGGCGCCTGGGTGGCTCAGTCGGTGAAGTGTCCGCCTTCAGCTCAGGTCATGATCCTGGGGTCCTGGGATCGAGCCGCACGTCGGCTCCCTGCTCCTCGGGGAGTCTGCTTCTCCCTCTCCCTCTGCCCCTCCCTCCTGCTCCTGCTCTCGCTCTCTCTCTCTCTGTCTCAAATAAATAAATAAAATCTTTAAAGAAAATAAAAGTAAACATGATGAATTTTAAGCTTTTCCTTTGGTCCTTTCCATAAACTTCTACCCCAGTTTTCCAGATTCAAAGTAAGTTTAACTTTAGATCTACTTTTTCTCTTTTCAGAAGTAACATGTATTTATTGTAGAAGATATGAAAATGGAGAAAAACACAAAGAAGACACAGCAAACTGAGCACGCCCCACTGTGTCCACTGCCCACGTCTGAAAACGTAGGATCAGCCCGGCGTTAGTCCTTCCTGAAAATTAACTGTGGGTTTTAAACAGTTCTTCATGGCTTCAGTAAATGATTTGAGACCCATGTTAATACTTACTCAGGTGGCTTGACGTACGGATTAGTTCTGTAATCATCCAAAGTGGATCTCTTGTGGAAGTGTTTGTCAAGTGCTACAGTAAAAACAACTGGCTCTCTACAGAATAAACAGTGATTCAGGTGCAGATCTGAGCACCCTCGCTGGCTCAGATGAGAAGGGGAGGAGAGCAGGTAAGTAGGGCTGCCTGGGGATGGACAGGAAATCTGATGAGCTAATATCTGAAAATATTTCAGAGCCACAGTGTGGACAAGTTCGTGAACATAAATGATGAAAATCTCAAACTGGAGTTCCAGTGGCGTGGGGTCTTACTTTAAAGCTGGCCAATCCTGGGGGCTCCTCCTCGGTCTTGCGGGTTACCGCAGGGAGGACACCCCTGTCTTCAGATTCCCCTCTGTTCATGTTGCAGACAGAAGCTAGAGGGAGCATTTGGGAAATGAAAACGCATTTATTCCCCTTGGGTCATCTAAAAAAAAGTAAATAATCTTAGTGCGTTCAGGCAGCTATAAGAGAATCCCACACATTGGGGGGGCCTACAAGCCACAGAATTTATTTCTCATAAATTGGAAGTCCCAGGTCAGGTGAGGATGCTCTCACTGGGTCCTCTCGTGGTGGAAGGGGCCAGGGATCTCCTGGGGTCTCCTTCCTAAGGGCACTAATCCCCTTCGTGAGGGCTCTACTTCATGACCCATCTCCTCCCAAATGCCCGCCTAATGCCCTCCATGTGGGGGTCGGGGTCTCATGGCAGGCATTTGGAAGGACACAGACATTCAGGCCCTAGCCAGTATGTAGCTTTCATCTCAACAAGGAAGCCAGAATTGCACAAGGAAGTGCAGGAATCTTGCCCGTTTCCTGCCAGGAATGCCGGGGAGGGGGGGGGGCATGGGGATCTTGTTTAGTACAACTCAGGGAGCCCGAGCAGGGCCCACAGGAGCTCAGCTCTGCGCTCCCTGCAGGCCCTGAGGGAGGATCCTTCTGCTCAAATTCCAAGCAAGAGCTCTATTGGTCTCATAGGGACCCACTTGGCCCCACAGAGCTGGTATGAAGATTATTTGAACTGGAGACATTTGATGTACAGTGGATGCAGAGAGAAGCCTTTTCAGAGCTCCCTGCCTTTGCTGAAAGCGGAGCTTCACCCCCAGATGGGAAGGAGCCGGGCCACTCACACCAGGATGAGAAATCGCATAAACAAACATTACCACAGGGGCCACACCTCCCATTCCCCCTAAAGGCTCATTTGTCTCCCCCTAGCAGCGCTTTCTGCCCCCCAATTAAGTTGGTACGTGAACCCCTGTATCTCTCTGTTCAGGGTCCACTTCATCTGAGCATGCTCACATGTAGTGTGAACAGACTTGCTCTCTCTTCTCCTGTTAATCTGTCTGTTGTTAAATTTTCAGGCCCCCAGCACTGAGTCTGCATTGGTGGAGGGAAGGTATTTCCCCCCCGACGATACAAATTTCAGGGGGGCATTCTGGGGTTGGCAACACACCCCAGGCTGTACCCGGAAGACAGCTGTCTGCTGCCCCATCTCTGCCCACGTGTGGGTGTTCTGATCGTCTCTTTCCTGTGAGGTCCAAACCTCCCTGTGATGCAATTCGAGAAACTTACCAGAACCGTGAAATCCTGTGATCAGACCAAGTGGTTGCTTAAAGGCAGTCTCAGCACTAACATCCCGAGATAAGTGTCATAATCTTCTTTAGCAGCATTATGTTCATTGTGGCTTATTTATTTTTTCAGATCTTCAGAAATTCTAGAGTCTTTAAGAAGGCCTGTTCTGACAAGTCTACTCTTGGCAGGATTGAGGTTTGATTCCAAAGGGGCCAAAGTTCCATTCCAAGGAAATCTAGCTAATATTGTACATACAGAGTTTCAGTGCACAGATAGAGACTGAAAGAAGATGTGGTGAGTTTATTTAAAAAGCAAACCCACACGATGAGGGTAGAGCCCTGGGGGGTGGGGGGCAAAGTAAAGGGTGGTCTGGGAAGCCACAGACTTTCAAGGAGGAAGTGGGAAACAGAGTCAAAGCCCACAAGTGGGTCGAAAGGCTGAAATGTCTGACACAGGGGAGAACGGTTTCAGGGTGCGTGGGGGGCAGGTTCCCTGGAGGAAGTGTCACAGCTAGCTCCCATGAGCGTCGTGGAGAACGAAGGAGCGTTAGCCGCCTGAGGGAGGAAGAGGATGACTCCTGCCCATACACCTGCTCGTCATTGCTGAAAATTCCAGCTAAGAATCAGCGAGTAATAGGAGAAGAAATGTATAAGATGAGAAGTGGAATCTTTCAAAGTGGGCATGTCCATAAAAGACCAGGAAAAGTCATTCTTTTACAGAGAATGAAACACCCCACCCATGGCCTCTCTCGTGGGTCAGACGCCCTCACGTTCTGTGTCCAGGCTGAAGAGGTCATGATGCACCGGGTGGCGCAATGGAGAGAGGACTTCCACACACGATGTTTAAAAAACATTCAAAATCCCCTCCGTCCATCAATGACTGAAAAACCGAAAGCAATTGAGAGTTCCTTGTTCTATCCATCCGCACAGGGAAGTCCACTGTTTCGCAAGAGGAAGTTGAGCTGTTAAAGAAAAACCAAAGCCTAAGTGTTAGACTAAGGGAAAGATGAAGGAAGAGCTACTTGCATTTCTGTTTGGGGGAGGTGATAGAACAAAAGAACACAAAACCCAGCAAAACCCCAAACTGACAACTGTACAAAGGCTTCTTAGCAGATCGAGTAATTAAGTTGCAGATTGATCCCCAGATTCTGAGGGCAAAGTGTGCAGGGAGGACCATTCTCTTAAGTCCGGTGGTGTGTGTGAGATTTCACTGTAGAGACACTGGGGTCCCGGGAGGTGGGGGCAGGCCTGCTGGAGGAGCTTTGCTGAGGACCCTGTGCAAAAGAGGCAAGGGCTCAGACATGGGGGCTCCCATGTCCTCCGAGCTCTGGGCGTCTCAGTCCCCATCACTCTGCAAAGAAGCTAGAGAGGTGTGGCCTAGGCCGGGGGTTGCTGACCACACCGTGCCGGGGTTTTTTTTGTTTTTGTTTTTTAAAGATTTTATTTTTTTGACAGAGAGAGACACAGCGAGAGAGGGAACACAAGCAGGGAGAGTGGGAGAGGGAGAAGCAGGCTTCCCGCAGAGCAGGGAGCCGGATGCGGGGCTCGATCCCAGGACCCTGGGACCATGACCTGAGCAGAAGGCAGACGCTTAACGACTGAGGCACCCAGGCACCCCCAGTGCCGGGTCTTTGAGCAAAGGAATGGGATTCCCACGGCGGTCCGTGAGGCTCTGGGCCTGGTGGGGAGAGGCCAAGGAGGCTGGGGAGATTAGCCCCGGGTGCTGCCGAGAGCAGGGACCCCAAGCCTGAGGGGCTCAGACTCAGGTGCAGGGCTGGGCCGCACCCAGAGTTCCTGACTGCATACGTGTGGGGAGTGGGGCCAGAGAATTTGGGGTGCTGGCTGGCCTGGCTCAAGGAAAACCATCCCTGAGAGCGGGTTCTCAGAACTGAATAGGGCTGCAAGGAATGGCCAGATGCTAAGGACCCCAAGTCTTAGCAGAAAGCTGGAGGGGCGTCCTAGCTTAGGAGGGCCCCAGAGACACCATGCGTCCAGGGAGGAAAGGGCGTCCCCTCTGGGGTCAGAGACGGAGGGGTGGCGGGAGGCCAGGACAGCGGGGGGCCAGACAACCCACACTTCCACCCACTGGGAAGCAGAGCAGGGACTTGACTGCCCCAGGCCCCACAGCAGCGCTGGCCTCTCCCCCTCCTTTCTCGTCCCTCGAAGCGCTTCAAAGTCCTCCCCACAGACACACGTCCTCCACGACAAGGTCCCAGACCAGAGGGGACACAGGAACCTGTCACACAGAGGAAAGGAAGGTGTCCCGTCTCTGCATGTCGACGCCTAGCCGGGTGAGGAAGGCTGCGGGCAAGAGATGGGCCGGCCCGCCACGGGGTCTCCGCGCACCGCAGCGTCCAGCCGCGCCCGCCAGAGCCTGGCCTGCCCCGATCTCCGACCTCCAGGACTGCGGAGAAATAAATGTCTGTCGTTTAAGCCGACCAGCAGCCAGAGCAGACGAATACACCAGGGATAACACGTCACCATCCTTGTCCCAAGGAGACGGCAGTCTGTTTGGGGGAAAGAAGCATAAAGACCGGTGTCCATCACAAGACAGAGAAGGGTGTCAGAGATGCTTGAAGCAGGGTTAGGACGGAACCGATGGCCCACACTTTGGAGGTCCACCTCTGGAATCACCCAGCTTCGGGTGGAACTGAGCTAGGGGTAGAAAGAATGGATGCTTGGGAAGATGCGAGCAAGGAGGCTGCTGGGGGGCTGATCCCGGACCAGCCATGTGATTGGTGGTTGCCCCGGGTGGGTGTGACTGAGGGCCCGAGCTAGCAGGTGCTGCAGAGGCCAGGCGGCCAGGGGGTAGACAGCCGCATGCGGCAGCGGGCAGGGCAGGGGCTGTACTCCCCCCCCCCAACCCCCGCACTGCGGGGCACCGCGCAGTTTTCATTTTGGAAGGCAGCTATGCTAACCACTATACCACCAACGCCCCGGCTCAGTTTTCATTTTGGAAGATGCTCTTTTTATGAGAAATCTACCATTTTGGGAGTTTATATTGACTTTGTTTCCATTTCTGCAAAACTCCTTAAATTTATTTTGAGGTTTTGGGATGGCTTCTACGATAAACAGAAAATGGGCTGACGGAAGGCATCGGCGTCAAATCAAATGAAGATGTATTTTGAAATCTAAGAAGAAACGGATGTGGCCGATTGTTGATCTACAATAGCCTATATGCTAGTAGTTACATCATTGCAGCTTTGGATATTTTGTTTCACTGTTTTTAAGCAGAGAAAGGAGTTTTCATATGTTCTCACCTCGTCCCCCTGCCCCCAAATCTGTGTGTAGATTAGGCCGCACAGTCTTTCTGTGAATGTGGTTTGCCCAGCAGCCCTGTAGAGGGTCCCGAGGTGCTGATACCCCAGACCTGGAAGGATGCGGTGCGCGCCTCCTGGCAGGTGCACCCATGACAGCATAGCTGCGAATCCAGCCCTGGGTCATCAACTGACTCCAGAGAAGGGAAGAGGATGCAGGGAATTCTAAGAGGAAGAAGAGCAGAAACTCAGGGTGGGGGGTTTCTGAAATTGAAATGTAAACCCGACTTGAAAAACACCCACAATTTCCTGTCCTAGCTGGGGCAAGGTTGCTGTCCCCAAGGGCCTGATTCATCTTACTGAGTGCTGGTGGTGCTGGCTGAGGGGATGCTGATCGAATTGGGGGGGGGGCCCAGGAAGGAATAACGGAACTCACGCCTACTGAGCACCCCTGCGTAGAGGATCACTTGCCCACAACACTGAGAGGGGCAGTGTCATCTACATTTGGTAGATGATGAAACAGAGGGCACCACCATTAGGAACACTTGCCCAGAGTCACTCAGTTAAAACATGGCCAACCGGGGTTCCAAATTCAGTTCTCTTGAGATCTTTCCATATACTTAGCTGACACCAGACCTTCAGCAGTCAAGGGATCACAATGGATATTGAAATGCCCAGGAACTATGCCCGAAAAGTTGGTAGATTTGGTTACATACAAATAAAAAATATTTGCACATTAAAAAAAAATCCCTGGGGCGCCTCGGTGGCTCAGCGGGCTGAGGATCCGACTCTTGATTTTGGCTCAGCTCCTGATCTCAGGATCCTGAGATCAAGCCCCACGTGGGGCTCTGCACTGACTGGGTAGTTTGCTTGGGATTCTCTCTCCCTCTCTCTCTGCCCCTCACCACCATGGCATTCTCTCTCTTTCTTAAAAGCAAAAACAAACAAACAAACAAACAACTTTAAAAAAATCACCATAAACAAGGTTGACATAGTTGAGTAAACAAGTATATAAAAGCTTTTAAATGTTATATATCATAGAAATTTATTTACAGGTTTATGATTTAAGTTTTATATTTATGTTTGAAATTTATTTACATATGATACACATGACTCCCAATTTTTTATTTTGAAGAATGTGAAATCTATAGTAGCACCATAATTTAAAAATGTTCAAAAAAAATGTTCACAGTTTTTTTTCAGTGTTTCTTTTTTTTCTTTTTATTTATTTATTTATTTGAGAGAGAGATAGCGAGAGAGAGCATGAGCAGGGAGGAGAGGGAGAAGAAGGCTCCCTGCCAAGCAGGGAGCCCCATGTTGGGCTCCATCCCAGGACCTTGAGATCATGACCTGAGCTGAAGGCAGATGCTTAACTGCTTGAGCCACCCAGGCGCCCCTATTCACAGGTTTTTAATGGGCAATTAACAAAAGAAAAATCATTAATGACCAGTAGATTTTTAATTTATTTTTAATTTTTATTATTTTTTAAAGATTTTATTTATTTGAGAGACAGAGCGAGTGAGAGAGAGCACATAGCAGAGGCAAGGGAGATGGAGAAGCAGGCTCCCTGCTGAGTAAGGAGCCCGACACGGGGCTCCATCCCAGGACCCTGAGACCATGACCTAAGCCAAAGGCAGAGGCTTAACTGACTGAGCCACCCAGGCACCCCAACCAGTAGATTTGTTAAATAAAGATTTTGACCTTACTGATGGTCAAAGAAACACAAATGGATATGAGACCTATTTCTATCTACTCCACTGGTAAAGATGAAGCTTTATCCCCTGGTGTCGGGAGGGTGTTGGATAGGCGGAGCAAGTATTCAGCGCGTGCACTGCTTCTCTTTTCCACGGTGTCCCTTGTGTCCCTTGCAGACGTCACTACCCTCACTATATCTGTCCACTGAGCCCCAGTGAGATTATCATTTAGATTTGGCACATAGCTGAAGGCTTATTTGCCACCCAGGAGAATACTGAAATTCAGTATTAATGGAAGTATACAATGACCTAATATTTGTGACATTGAGGCATTTTGAACAGTATCGGTTCAGTTTGTTACATGTGAGCCGCAGAAATTGCTGGCTGTCCCCCTTCCCCACTATCCCTCCTTCTCTCCCTAATTAGAGAATTTTTATCTGGGTACACGAGGACTCAGAGTAAAGACTACATTTCCCAGCCTTCCTTGCAGTTAGGTGTATGGCCACGTGACTAGCTTCTGGCCAATTGGGGTGTAAGCAAAAGTGTCATGTGTCAGCCATTGGCCAGTTGGCCGGCCCTTCCTCCCTCTGCTGCTTGGAACGTGGGTGTGATGGCTGGAGCTCCCACCGGGAGGAGGAGGGTGAGAGTCAACTTGGCTGGCAGAGCTGTGAGCTGGAAGGAGTCTTGCGGATTGTGTAGAGCGGACTGCCAGGCCAGCCTCAGATGGGCTACCTCAGAACTTTTCTTGTGAGAGAAATAAATGTCTCTTTTAAACTCCACTTCTTTGGGGCTTTCTGTCCGTCCGTGGGAAGCCAGTCCTAAGTGGCACGAAGTAGCCCTGCCCGACCTGGCTGCAACGACGTCTTCTGTCTCGGACCCCCGTGTCCGCCCCAGAGACGAGCCGCGTCTTCAGCGGCCGGTGCTTCGTTCGGAGAACACCTTATAGATACACTGCTTTTGTCCTGAAGTAGGTGCGGGTCTTGTGGATGTGAACGGCAGAGAAAGAACCAATATTTTGTGGATGTAAATGTTGGGGTCCGTGCCCGGCTGGCTGGGCCGAGGGCAGGACCTCAAGCTTAGACACATCCCGGCGCAGCCAGCCGCGGGACCCTGGGGAAGCCGCTGGCTCACGCTGCGCCCCGGTTGCGCTTGCGAGACGGCGAAACATCACGGGACAGCAGCACCAGCTGCGCCCCCGAGAGCGACCTGGGCCCCCGGCCTGTTGCCGTGCTGAGGTCAGGAAGCCTGGAGCTGATAAAGATGCATGTGGCACCCATCTCTCCACGTGCTTGTGCTCCGCTCCTCTCTATCCTTCCCCTCTTCCCCTGTTATTCCACATCCAATCCACAGCAAATCCTGTAGGTTCCACCTTCAAAATATACCCAGACTGCAAACAGCTTTGAACACTCCTCTGTTACCACGCTAATCCCAACCAGCACTGTGTCTCTGAGGTCTCTGCATCTGCCGTGGCCGCCTCAACACAGCAGGCGGGTGACCTTGTGTCAGGACAGCTCCTGTCTCTCCTCCCCTCGGAATCCTCTGCTACCCTGCTGTCTCATTCAGAGTATAAGCCACAGCCCTTACGATGACCTCTAGGCCCCAGTATCCTCCCCTGCCCCACCTACCCCCCCTCCTCACAGACCTGATGTCTAGCTCACCTTCTCTCTCCTGCTTCGGCTGCTCTGACCTCCTGCAATCCATCAAGCTGACCAGGAGGGCTTCTGCCTCAGGGCCTTTGCACTCACTGCTCTCTGTGTGAACCCTTCTTCCTACAGATACGTGCATGTTCAAGGCCTTACCTCCTAATGCATATGAAAACTTTATCTTGAAGACATCCTGTTTAAAAGGGGACCCCCTGCATCCACCTTCAGGCCTCATTCTCTGTATACCATCCTGTTCTGTTTTTCTCCATCTAACATTTCATCACTGCCTAGGACACTATATATTTTGCTTGTTTATTTTGTTGGCTGTCTTTCTCATTGCTCTGTTCCTAGGTCAGGGCTTAGTGCTTGGTGCTTCAACTCCTACCCACTGAATGAATATATGATAGATAGGCAGGGTTTGGTTTTGTTGTTGTTTTGTTTTCCTTTGCTTTTAAAAAGGAGGAAAGTACTTTAAAGGTAAAATTGTTCTACAACCAGGTGATGTGGAAAACAAAGGCCGAAGGAAATGTAGATGAAATTAAATGTCCTTATAACCTGTAGCCCATTGACAAATACTTGAGGCAGGTAGAGTGTAAGGTCCTTGCAGGAAGCTCCCAACTGCCTTAATGTTAATGCCTTGCTAGAGGGAAAAAACACCCTTGGTTTGACAATAGCCAGGCCTCCTATATCCTGTGAGTCCTCTTTAGCTGGTGAAAGTTCTTCTGGAGACTTCCCTTATCTTTACTTCCCCCAACCCCATGGTATATAATCAGTTGCTCCTCAGAATCTCGGGGTGGCCGCTCTTTCTGCCCATGGGTTCTGTCCCGAGCTTTAGTAAAGCCACCATTCTGCCCCCAAGACGTCTCAAGAATTTTTGGGCCGTGGGCTCTGAACGTCCCCCCCACCGACGCTGCTCCAAAAACTACATCAGAGGCACCTACAGACACTCCCAAGTTACTTTGCAAAACCCGAGGAGAGCAACCACATTTCCCTCTTTCTTATATTTTCACTGCAGAGAGTCCCAGAGTTGCTCAGTTCGCATCTTTTTAAAAAGGAAGCTACGTGTTTTTCTTGGCCTTGGGAGCGTTTCATCTAGCAATTGGAAAAAGGACTAGCCTGTTAGGCTGGCGGTTTAAATCCAGGCAGAATAAACATCGTCCTTGGCAGGTAAGTAGCTCCTTAAACAGACTCATCCCAACATCTGCCTCCTTCCTCCATATGGCCTCCCGAACAGGAATAAGGCAATTGAGGGTCTTAAGGCATTTTTTAGGAGTGGTTGAAATTTGATACGGAGACTTTCTCCTGGTTGAATTTAGTTGTTCAAAGTGCTGGACAATTTAAATTTTTTTACAGACTCGCTGAGTGAATTGTATGTGCCAGGCACTGGGCTAGGTGCTGGGACCTAGCAAACCTACAGGTCCCTCCCCTGCAAACCTGCTCTGAGAGCAGCAGTTTTTCCAGGGGCGACAACATTAAGTTAATGAAATGTACTCAAATACACACGAACTGAGCACAGACCGTGGCCTAGTTCTAGGAACTTGGGAGACACCGGAGAACAAAACCCAAAGACCCTCATGGGCTCAAAACCCCATGTTTAGTGAATGATGGGGTGATCTGAGAAAGGCGTGTTGAACTGGGTGGGATACAGACTTCGTTTAAAACATGCTCCCTGTCCCTAGGGAATTTCAAAATTACTGCAGGAGATAAGAATGAAGTAACAGTGAATATAATGAGCTGGTTAGAAGGGCCAGGGTTTTAACCGCATGGGAGGGCTGGGAGGGTGGGGGACACCCACCAGAGGGGGGCCTGGAGGAGGGGCCTGCCCAGGTGAGCAAACCCAGAGGGTGTGGCATAGCTGGTCACCATGTGTTTGCAGGACACAGCTTCTGGTCTCACCAGGATGGTGAACTCATCCATTCTTTCCTAACTCAAAGCTTTCTTTCCTTTTTTTTTAAAGAGAGAGAGAGCACAAGGGGAGGGGCAGAGTGAGAGGGAGAGAGAGAATCTTAAGCAGACTCCATGTCCAGTGCAGAGCCCGACGCAGGGCTGGATCTCACGACCCTGAGATCATGACCTGAGCCAAACCAGGAGTCAGACACCCAACTAACTGAGCCACCCAGGGGCCCTTGACTCAAAGCTTTCTTGAGCAACTGTTGTGTGCAAGAGAGGCTTCACCAGGCTCACTGGGGAGCACCACACAAAAAGTCCCTTCTTGATGGAAATGTTGGGGTCTGGAGCTGAGGGTCAAGAAGGAATTCTTGAGATGTCTTGGGTGCAAAAAGGTGGTTTTATTATAGCACAGAGACAGGACCCACGGGCAGAAAAGAGCTGCGCTGGGATCGTGAGGAGCAACTGATTATAGACTTTGGAACTGGGGGAGGTAAAGACAAAGGAGTTTCCAAAAGGATTTTCATATGCTAAAGAACACCCAGAATCCTGGAGGCCTGGCTATTATCAAACCAAGTTGTTTTTCCCTTTTTCCCTCTAGCAAGACATTAACATTAAGATTGGGAGCTTCCCGGAGGAATCTTATACCCTGCCTGCCTCTAGTATTTGTCAATGGGCCGCAGGTTATAAGGAAGTTTAATTTTATCTACATTTCCTTTGTGCCTTTGTTCTCCACTTAGGGAGCTTGCATTCTGGAGAGGGAGGCTGCAGGGTTCGACGTGTGAATAAGCTATACAATTTGAGATAGCCGCAAGAAAACAAAGCAGGAGAGGGTGCCTGGGTGGCTCAGTCGTTAAGCGTCTGCCTTCGGCTCAGGTCATGATCCCAGCGTCCTGAGATCGAGCCCCGCATCGGGTTCCCTGCTCAGCAGGAAGCCTGCTTCTCCCTCTCCCGCTCCCCCTGCTTGTGTTCTCTCTTTGGCTGTCTCTCTCTGTCAAATAAATAAATAAAATCTTAAAAAAGAAAAAAAAAAAAAGAGAGAAAAGAAAGCAGGATAGGGCCCTAGAGGGGAAGGGAGAGGAGAACTCTGGAAAAACCTTGGGCAGGGTGTGGGGGCAGATAATGCGCAGAGTGTGGACTGGCCAGGTGGGAAGACCGCAGGTGTCTGGACAGAGAAAGGAGTTAGGAAAAGTCGGTGGGGCCGTGAGCTCCCACTCCTGGGCCTCACAGTGCGGGAGACGCTCCCACACCTCTGCCCCCCCACCCCGTCTCTCTGCACCGGAGTGGGCCATGTCCCACTCCCCTCCGACAGGGACCCGCCCGCACACACAGCGATCTCAGCAAACCACCTACCGGGATTCAAACTAGAGCACCGAGGTCTGCCTCAGCAGTTTCTCTAAAATAAATACTAAATCCCACACGCTGCACATTTTAGAAGCATTTCAAGGTTCACTCAAAACAGGAAGGAGGAAAGATTTTGCTAGTAGGCATTGCTACTGAGAAAGGCAAATTTCCACTCCAAAGTTTTAACCGGTCACGGCCGTCCACCTCTCAGACATAAAACAGCATGAACGATTTCTTGCAGAAGTGAAGAAGACAAAACAAAGGCGACACTGTCAGGCGCCTCCCCAGCTTTCTAATCATTAACGTGCTGAAAGGTTTGCACAGATGCCCCTTGAAGGTAAACTTCTTACAGCGGCCTTGACCAGTGGCTACACTTGCGCGCCCGCAGATAAGGGGATCCGCACGGCTGGGGGGGCGGCGTGGGCTGGACGGGCGCGGGCCCCCCCCGGCGGTGCCGTGGGGCACGCGCGCGAGCGGCCCGGGCGAGCCTCCCGGCCGCGCACAGCCCTCGCCGCCCGCGGGGTCGACCACGGGGTCGCGCGCCCGAGCCCAGCGCCGCGGGGGCGCGGTCAAGCTGGGGGCGGGCGTGGGGGCGTGACCACGGGGCGCGGTCTGGCGGACGCGACCGGGGCGGAGCCCGGGGCGCCCCGACGGGAGCTGACTGCTGCAGGCTGGACACGCCAGGTGGGCGCCGGGCTGGGTTTCCAGCTCCCGCACGGGCTCGGAGACTCACTCCCTCTTCCGCGCTCCCTGGCGTCGGAGCCGGAGGGTCCGGCGGGTCCCCACAAGTTCGGGGTCCCCGCGAATCCGGGTCTCCGCGAGTCTGGGTCCTTGCGAGTCCCGGCGTCCGAGCGTTCGGGGGCGGCGGCCGGCTGCTCCAGCGGCGCCTGGGGCGCACG